TAGTTTTTTATTTTTAACTCGAGTTTGGTTACGAATTTGACCATACCTCCAAGGCAAAAGTTGTTCCTCCAAGGCAAAAGTTGTTTGTATTATTATTTTACATAACATATATTTTTTTCAGATTTTTTGGAGAACTTTTTTTTTTTTTTTAATATTTTATGTTCGCGTTCGGAGAGTTTCGGCGCTCGTTCGCGTTCGGTCCGGAACGTTCGGGTTCGGTCACCGAACGCAAACACGATGCTACACAGCTTACGACTATCATGCCCAGTTACATTATCCGAGTTTATCGGTTAAAGTTCAGTTAAACTCACTGGCAGTAAGAATTTGGATGCCACTTTATCTCTCAATATATAAACTTGGATGTTACTATGATCCACAGTGTTTTTTTTTTTTTTGTTCTTTTATCCGAGTTTATCAGTTAAACTCACTGGCAGTAAGAATTTGGACGCTACTGGCAGTAAGAATTTGGACGCTACTGGCAGTAAGAATTTGGACCCTACTTTATCTCTCAATATATAAACTTGGATGTTACTATGATGCACAATTTTTTATTTTTATTTTCAGTTTTGACTCTTGACTCCATCTACTCCTATGATGCACGCGCAGTTACTTAGTCCGAGGGTAACATTTAAACTCCCTGGTAGTAAAAAACTTGGATGTTACTTTACCGCGATAGACTTGGTGTGCGCGACGAGGAAGATGTTGCTCCAGCAACAACTCACCTGATCGAAAACACCTTCGTCTGGAGTTCCATCAAGGTTTAAAGTCGGGGCGAGGGCCAACGCAAACTTCTCGCCTTCTTTCAACGGGTAGATGTCCACATTGATATCAAGAATGAGGTCCATCTCAAACTGCTCACTTCTGCACACATAACGGGAAACTGACGAACATTCGAAACGCAAGATCATCGTTAGTTTGCGAGTGAGTTCCGGGGCCGACCATCTTGTTCCATATCTACTGCCCTTATCCACATCCCTGACACCACAACCTCATCCACGACAACGGTATTTTTTTCCCTTTTTTCAAACCAATAAACCAAAGCTGGGTACTAGAGGGGGTGGGGTCCGAGCAGCCTCCCCTAGTCGGTGTTCTGGTTGCTCCAATTCTGTTGGCGGGGAGCCACACCTGCTGGAAAGCCGGTCCAGCATCCCAATTGAACAAGACATCCACGGCAGCAACGATAACCGCAATACCTTCTCCCTTTTTTGCACCTCACACCAACGTTAACCGCAATACCTTCTCCCTTTTTTGCACCTCACACCAACGTTAACCGCAATACCTTCTCCCTTTTTTGCACCTCACACAGGACTCCAAGTATAAGATTACTTTCGAGATCCACCACAACCTTATCCACCAAACAACCTTATCCACCAAACAACCTTATCCACCAAACAACCTTATCCACAAAACAACCTTATCCACAAAACAACCTAATCCACAAGACAACCTAATCTAAATTTGCACTGTGCTCAGAACTCCAACACGTAGGACTACCCCGAGTACATCTGGACAATGGATATCACACGTCACATGCCTCGGCCGTAAACCGAGTCCCAGCGACAACTGAGATTCAGAGTACGCTCAAATGCAATTGCAACTATCACCCACCCAGACCCAGTCTGAAACTATCGCCGAGTTATTTGAGCGCAAAGCGGGAAAAAAAAAAAAAAAAAAAAAAAAAAAAAAAAAAAAAAAAAAAAAAAAAAAAAAAAAAAAAAAAAAATTTTAGTTTTTT